TGGCTCGAGAAGCACCTATCGGCGATTCAAGGCGCGGGCAAGCGGCTTATCAGCAGTCGGGACACGCGATCTTCATCATGGTGCCTAGGCGGGCATAGGCGGACCTAGGCGTTCCTAGGCGGGCTCGACGGAAATTTTTCATTTATTTTATTTTTTTAAATACTAAATTATATTATTTTGTTTTCATGTTTTCTTTAAAATATACTTCCTCCTATTTTTATTATTTGTCGTTTGAGAATCAACACACTAATTAAGAATTTTTACTTGCCAATATTAACTCTATTTAATGGATGTTATAGAAATGATGGAGATTGGATATGAAGAGACGTTGTGTATTAGATGGAGGGTTAAAATAAAAAAAATATGAACAAAATAGCCAAAACGACATTTATTTAATCAATGATGAATTAAGTCAAAGTGACAAATAAGAAAAATAGGAGAGAGTATTAATTTTATTATTTGGATATTTTATTATTTGGACTTAGGTGTGTCGATTTGTTATAATTTGAAATAATTCTATTTTGTAGGTAGTTAAAATAAATAAAAAATAAAGTATTTAATATTAATTTCTAGGCCCCGACTAGGCGCTCTAGGCGCTGGTCGAGCGCCTAGCGACTTTTAGAACATTGCTTGTAATCGAAACACATGCCTTTTTAATTTTAACTCACTTTATCTAATAAATTAAACCAAACCAAAAACAAACTCATTTGTAATAGAAACACAGGTCGGATTTTATATTTTTTGGCCTGTTTAAATCACTCTTTTTGTCGAACCTTGTTAGGTTTTTCTTTTCGGAACGATAAAGATTTTACGAAGTGCATAAAGGTGCGAAAAGGAAATCAGCTCATAGCTGAATGATATGACTACAAGTTGAATAAACTGGGAAGACAAATCCAAAAATCACCTCGAGCCTATACTAGCAACACTTGGAAAAAGAACTCGTAACAACAGACACACAAACAAAAGAAAACAACTCCAATGAGGGGGACTTACCAATCCCACTAGGATAATACTCGCTCTTACTCAGGCAGAACAGAGGCCAGAGGCCCAAACCAAAAACACAAAACCAAACCAAACACACTAAACAAACAAAGCACCAAACCTATAAAAAAATAAAACTGAACAAAATAAAGGCTCTTCCCTCAGCAGCAAAACCAATCCTAGCACATGGCACCAACAAATTACACAGTCGATCAGCCCCAAAGATTGAAATGCAGTCTAGGGATCGGCTCCCGAAACTGTCGAACTGCCCAACTGAAGTCGAATCCCGAGACCCCGAACCACTCCGATAAGGGAAGCTGACCCACAACCATAGGAGTGTCGACCAGCCCCCCACTAACGAACACCCCGAAACTTGACCATCACCACTGGCTCGGATTCGAACGTGTCGGCCATCCTGAACCCACAACACTAAAAGAGCAGCGACAGAGGGGGCAGGATTCGACGCACTTCAGACAAGCCGAGCAACCAAGACCGCACCCAACACCCTAACCACACACCACCACCCAACACCTCGACGCGACCAGGAAGACCAACAGCCGCGACCACCACCGGCAACCAACCATTGCGAATCCGACCAACAGTCATCTGACAACCTCCATCAGTTTGAGAAAACAGGGAATAGAGAAAAATCAAAGTGTGGTTGCGTGGCTAACGGCCATCTGCCGGCAAAGGTGTTGGGATCTATGAGGATCTCGTTATGTATAATTCACGAATTCAATAACAAACGTAAACCTATACGCAACGGATCAAAAGTTGACGTAGAAAACTTACTGCTCAAAATTTTGTGAATCTGTCGGATTCAAGATGACCGAAACAACACGTTACGAAGATGCCAGGAACAGGAACGGGAGGCAGGGATCAGCCGGTCGTGTGTCGCGTGCGATCGGATCGTGTGGCGGGCTGTGGTGGGGGTCGGATCATCGGGGGCAGCGGGTCCGGTCGGTTCGTGGGTTGGGGTCAGCGATCCTCGGCCTTCGGGTCATGGTTCATCGGCTCCGGTAGATGATCACAATGTCTCGATTACCTTCGGGATCTTCTATTGTCGTACTCAACCACCTCTTCAACTTGTACTGGTAGAGCAACATGAAGAAGATAAAGCTCGAACAGAAAATTGAGAGAGAGAGAGAGAGAGAGAGCGCGTGATGTATATCACACGTAGGAGAATTCTAGTCACTTCTTCTCTTTTCCCTGAGCCTAATGATGTATATATAGAGCTACAGTAGGGACCTTTAGAAGAATAGGAATACGGCTTCTTAAGTAATGGATTAGCTGTGGGCCCGACCCACTCTTTCAATTACTTAAACAATATTACGGTTCAATAACATAATATTATTGCACTCCTTTTTCCTAGATCAAATTACTTTTGAGACTCCAATAATAATTACCCGAATTGTCTTCCCATGTTTAATATATAATATCTATTAATTAATTTGATTACTGATAATCAATAACTAATTAATACATTATATTACAAAAGCTAGCGTTCGTTCATCACATTATTATTTTATTTAATCTTCCTACAGGTTTAGCATAACAATCCTTCATGAACTCACTTTGGGACATCATCAAATTAAACGTGCATGGTGACTGTAAGTATCCTAACAACACATCATACATACAATAATATTACCCAAGACAGTAAGAATATTAGTCCAGCGAACTGAACCTAACCCAAGTGAGTCAAAGTAATATATACTGCATATATATGTATGTTTAATATCTTACGGGTTAAGGGAACACAATAATTAACTGAGGCTTAGGTCGTTCACGACGATCAGTATAAAACGAACTTATCCTCTTTGGGATCATGTTCAATACATAGATGTACTAGTGCAACTAATCAAACAAGACAAACTGTACCGTTGACTGTACAATCGTTCGGATAGGGTGTTCATTTTCCATCTAGGCTGTGAACCATTAATTCTTGTTTCGCAAGTGACTGATAGAATGATTTTCTGTTCACCCGATGATGACTCATTCTATCTAACTGCAAAACAACAGAACATAGAACTTGTTTAATCGAACATGATTCTCATTCATAAAGGGAAAAAGTGTATTATCATCTAAAGCCAAATTTTTAGTATATAACACTAACAATCTCCCACTTATACTTATATCTTTCGCTTTTACAAGTATAGTCCAATCAATACGTTATTCTAAAAGACCTATATTGATCCTATCGTCATACATCTGACTCTCATTCCTTTCACGTGTTTGACAAAGACCTTCCCCAACAAACTCTTCGTGAAAGGATCACCTAGGTTGTCCTTTGATGCAATCTTGGCAACATCAACGTCTCCTATACCAATGATATCTCGTATCGGATGGTATTTGTGCTCTATGTGTGTTTGTTTGCTCTTTGGGCTCGTGGTTCCCTTGAGTTCGCTACTGCTCCATTGTTATCACAATACACGGTGATACAACGTGGCGAACTCATAATCATCTCTAAGTCCATTAAGAAGTTTCTGAGTCAGACTGCCACTTTCGTTGCCTCAGAGGTTGCGATGTACTCAGCTTCCATGGTGGAGTCTGTCGCGCATTTCTGTTTAGCACTCCTCCATGAAATGACTCCACCTCCTAAAGTAAACACATAGCCTGAGGTTGACTTACTCTCGTCCCTGTCTGACTGGAAATCAAAATCACTGTAACCCAGAGGTAACAAACTGTTTGCACGGTAAACTAACATGTACTTTTTAGTCCTCTTCAGGTACTTGAGTATATATTTCACCGCAGACCAATATTTCCGTCCCGAATTACTTTGATATCTAGCTACCATGCCAACGACGAAGCTAATATCTGGTCTTGTACACAATATAGCATACATAAGACTTCCTACTGCCGAAGCGTAAGAAACTGTCTTCATGTCTTCTATCTCTTGAGACGACCTATTCCATGTATTAAAGGTAACATACTTTTCTTAGAATGGTTTGAAAATAAATTAAATATATTTTCTTAAAAAGAAAAGGACAAAGTATGTAGTTGATTATAAGTTGAACTAAATTACCTTTTCACACAATGACAATTTATTAGTCGTTCACATATGAAAAAAAAAACACACACACAAACACACACAATTGTTGCTACAACATGATCTCACGCAAACCTTTGCTCGGAAAATATTAAAGTCCCGTTACAAATCTTTTGGGGTTTGTAAACTATTTCTGGCGGTAGTTACATGATGATCTAACTGTAGACATGGCCACGAGTCGGCCCGGCCCCACACTAAAATTGGCCCAACCCGGCCCGTATAAGTGCAGTTATGAACCGGCCTGGAATTTCTTAAGGGCCGGTTACAAACCGTCTTTTATCCATTTTTGACCCGTCGGGCCGGGCCAGTTTTTCCAACGGGTCATAGTTGTTTTTTTTTTATTTTTATTTTTTTTAACCCAACGGTTCAACGGCCCATAGGAATTGCCGGGCCGGTTACGTGCCCAACAATTGAGGCCCGTCGACCCAACGGGCCAGGACGAACCGGGCCCGGAACCGACACCTGGCCACCTCTATCTACTGTTATAAACCCCGAAAAAACGTAACGGGACCTTAACATTTCCCCCTTTTCTCACTGTGTTTCTTTATTCTCAATCTTTTCATTGTTTTTCTTTTCTTTTTAAGCCTTCTCAAGCTATGGATTCCTTTTTTTTTTTTTTTTTCCTTCTGTGTTGGGTCACTCAAAGAGGGCATGCATGACATGATGATGATTCCCCCCTTGTGGTGGAGTATAGGATTCCAAATTTTGTGAGTGTTATGATTCATCAAAGTGGGCAAACACAGCCATTAACACACCAACCATTCTGATGGAGACAACATTGTTTTAAAGCATGACAGTCAGGGGCCCCACCAACCCATGATTCACAATCTGCCTCCTCCTTTCAATCTTTGAATTTTACAAATAGAGTAAACTTGAAAAGAGTCACAAACCATGCACACAGCTGTACAAATGCTTACTTGAATTATGATGAGATATAGGCCCCGGAGGAACAAAGTTTGCCTGCAAAAAATTATGATGGTCTTTGGACTAAAGATACAATGACAGCCACGTCGTCGAGCCTGCCGCCAATGTATTCCGAAAACCCGGCTGCCCGAGCATCATCGGCAAATGGACTTCTCGTACAGCCCGACTCACCTATCTCTTGTGCCTTTGTCGCTAGTAGTTTTGCAATTTCCTGGAAATATTGTGAGTCATCATCAGAAAACTCATACATATACAAACTCATGAGCGCGCACGATATATAGTATCCTTCATGCTTCTCATTTCCTCTCTATTTTCATAAGTCTTCAGTATTTATTATTTTTTTCTTTCGAATTACAAGCTCCTGTCCGAGAGTAAACTGAATCTTTAAGGACATCTTTTGTAATAAATCTTGAAATTAATCTTGAACAAGAACATAGTACCTCGAGCTTTTTATCACCAGCGAGTGACTGCATGACTATTGATGAAATCTCTTCATCGTATAAATTGTCGAGCAATCCATCAGTTGCAGTAAGAATCAAGTCACCCTCCTCTAAATCAACTCTATAAGTCTGAAGCAAAAAAGAAAACAAAAAAGAAAGGAAGAGGAAGTCGATTGACGCTATATTTTAGTCACTTAAACAACTTCTATCAATTTGTGTATTAAAACTTTCATTAGAGAGCATACGAACCTCTGCAAGAGAAGTCGGGTCATCACCTTTCTCAATACGCAGAGGAAAACAAAACGCGTATTGCATAGGTGAAGAACTTTTCCAAACAGAACCTTTTCGTAGGACAATAAATCCAGAGTTCCCGATGTTAGCCACGTTAAGAGCCTGTCAGAAATTAACTATCCATATAAGTATCATAAAGAGCAAGTTGCATATTTGCATTCTACTAATTGTCTATACAAGTGATTATTATACAGAATGATGACATAACATAAAATATCAAGTGCTGATTTGATCACAGGAAGAAATTATTTTAGTTACCAACACTTGATTGTTATGTCTGCTTCTATTGATATAAAAGTAACAAATGAAAAAAAAAGTATACAAAAAACGATTGCCACAGGAAATTAGACATCTGCATATTAATTATACCCGGCCATCAAAGTGAGCAATCAAAACTGTTGACGACCCAGGAGAGTGTGTTTCAGCTACACTGTGCTTAAGCAGTTCCAAAGGGTTGTTTATGGAGATCCCATTGCAATCAGAGACTGTCTTTTCACAAATTTTGACGAGTTCTCGTGCATGAACTCCAGGATTAGTCCCTGAACAGAAGTCGATAACAATAGTTTTTATAATGTCAGATGCTGAAGGCCAGAAGGGGTCTCTGGTAATAGTAAATTTACATAAATAAATTTAAGTGTCTGTTGGGATACAACTCTTTCCTTCAAAATAAAATTTGCAATGAGAAGTTTGGTCAAAAAAAAAAAAAAAAAAGTTAATTTAAGCGGACGAAAGAATCCAAGCAGGCAATACCTTCGAGTGACCACTGACTCATTCCATCAGCTACACCAAACCACGTTTGGCCAGCAACGAAATATGCATCCTCTCCACCTGTCAATGCCTGGAATTTATTATTTTTCTGAATTACTACACCTGTACTGTTGAGATGCAAAAAAAAAAACATAATTCTAACTACGTTAAATACATTTTCAATAAGCAATCTCGATTTATTCCGTTAAGTTGGGTAAATCACTAAACTGATCACAGAAAAACCATTGCTTCTAATTTCCATTTTAAGAATGATCGGTGAAAGAAAAAATTACAGTCCATGGTTATAAAAAAACAATATTAATTTTGTAAAAGTTCACCCACTAAGTAAAAAGTGGTTATACACGTGTGTTGGAACTCTAAAATTGAGGCATAGCATAAGAATGCTGCTTTCTTGGGGTACCTTAGAGGGACGCGGCAATAAAGCAGCACCGGAAGATAGAACAAAATTCGTCATGGAGATATCCTCACTGTTCAGAAAATCTCGTTAGACTGCTTTCAAATTCATAGGGCATTACAGTGCAGATACTGTAACCAGAAGCATAGTATTTTATTATACTATTTTTAAGCAGTTCAAATGAGTAAATAATATCAGAACTTCATTTTTACTGAAAACCTGGTTTTTGTACTGTTTGTACTGCAATACTAATTTATGAACAAACTGAGCTGCAAAATGCCAATGACTCCACATTTGTGACAGGACAACAGAAGAGCTTTAGTGACAAAACCTATTTGTAGCAGATTCAGTGGATCCCAATTCCATCAGTTCATAGCTGGGTGCTTCTGAGATTTCCTCGCTCTGCACAAAACATATTCGTATTAATCGAGCAAATGAAGAACCGAGAGCATTAGGGTTTCATAATGCGTTGAATAAAAGATGATGTCAAAGTATAATGTGTGTTAGTTGTATTTGACACTTAATACATAGTCTAGTTGCTGAGGAGAATGAACAATAGATTCTCGGCGATCTTTTGGATGCCATTCTACATAATTACACTTTGTTTTCTTTGTCTTGAATGACAATTCTAATAAAAGTAAATATAACCACAGGCTCTCGCGGAAGTGTTTATCCCAAATCTACGCGGTCGTGATATGATAGACAAGAATGAGATTTTTCGTAGACATCAACGAAATACCTGACTTCAAACCCAAAGCAAGAACTTATACACTAAATGAAGCAAGTTAGATCTCAAATGGTCGTAGTTCATATTATGTAACAAAGAAGTGAAGAATTGTGATAAGTCCTAATTTTTTCAAGACATGCAGAATCCAACCCAAAAGAAATTTTTGCTAGTTAACATTATGTATATTTTCTATTCCTGATTCATTTCTGGCTAATGGAACTCAGCCTATATTGCGCAATGCCTGAAAAGTTAAGACAGCAATGTGATCAGTTTGTTTTATGGTACGAGTATGTACTTATACGACCCAATTGACTCAACTAACCTCTTTTATGCTCTCCACCTCAACATTTTCCTTAAACACTTTAGTGGTGCCAGTCAGGCAACTTTCACTTCCGTTTTCAAAAATCTCATTCACGAACCCACCTTCTGCTGCAGGGAATTTGGCCTCAGCTTCATTCATTTCATTTCCATTTCCATTACCAGCTGTAACATTCTGGATCTCACTTTCGCTGCCATTTTCAGTTATAAAGCTCTCAGTTTGCAAGTTCTTCTCCTCGGGTACTTCACAAGTAACATTCTTGATAGTCTCACTTCGCATATCAGTCAAGCCACTATCCCTATCGAGATTAAAATCATCACTCGCCACACTCATGCCTTCTCCCATATTTTCTAAGTGCTCGGCATGGGCACCCGGAGTGGAACTAACACTAGCATTAGTTTTGATTTCTGAAGTGTCTACTTCATTAACAGGGCTCTTATCGAGGATGGAATTGTCCACTTCACTCGTAACTTCATTTTCTGTACTCGAAACCAAAACGGGGAGTTGGATATTCTCTGGACTCTCTATCGATATATTATCACTAAAAGCTGTGGACTTAGAGTTTGCATGATCAGCCAGGTCAGTCGAGCCGGAACTGGATATTTGTTTGTCTAATGTCCTTATTACCACCTCTGCTTCACGATCACCATCAAACACCTTCACCACACTGGGTGGTCTAACTCCATCTTCGGTTTCTATTTCATCATCGCCTTGGGTTTCTTTTATTTCGTCATTTTTCGCGATTTCAGTCGGGTCCCCAAACCGAAACAGAAGACTGCCGTCCGAGTGCTCTGCCAAGACAATCATCCAAAAAAACACAAAAACATCACAAACAAAGCCAAAGAACCAAGGGTCGTATACAAAGATTGAGCTCCACAAAATTCCCAATTCATAAATTTTCACAAGTTACTACATAGCCAACATCTATCAATTTCAACACAAACGAAATTAATGATTAGGCAACTTCTATAAGCGAGATAATGGTGGCTTGGGTCAAGAGCATATTACCGTGAGTCGAAACGACATCAAATCTTGAACAAAAGGGCTTAGGTTTTGAAAGTAGGGTAATTTGAGGTGGACATGTTCTTCTCTCGCTGAATCTTGAATTGTGAGTGTGGATAAGTGCGGACAGATGAAAAGGTTTTGAAGGAGAAATTAGGCGCAAGTTATTGTTGGAGAAGAAAGATTGGAACTCCAACAACCTGCAGCAAGAATCAGCCATGGCTGCTGCTAAAGAAATGCCATTGATCGTGCATGTATTCCGAAGATGTTCCGATTGTTTTTGGCAATGTGCAGTAATTTTTGTGTGATCACTGATGAGAGAACCTATAGAAGAGTGGATAAACAAGTGGTAGGAGAAGAACAAGGTTCCATTAGAAACTGTAAGTAGTAACAAAACAAAGGGAACGCAACTATCTTACGTCAGATCAATTATCCTGTTATATGATGATCTAATGGTTACTAACCCGACGGAATAATTCAGACCATAATATTTCTCAAAACAAATGCACTTAAACAACTATTTTTTTTAATAAATTCACATATTTTATGTTGAAATGAGTTTAAAGAAAAAAATGAATAAAAATGTATTTATGAAATTCTATTCAACAAATATGAGGTAAGAACTAGAGATGTTAAACATATTTGGCCTGACGGGCAGATTCGTTTAGCTCGAAAATAAACAGAGTTAGGGCATTTCTTGGTAGCCCATTTAAATCCAGATTTTTTAGGTCCGACCGTTTAGCCCGAAGCCTGATAAGGCTAGCCCGTTTAACTTGAGTTGAATGTTTGTAGTGTTTTTGGGTAGTTGGTAACCGAGTTACCCGGACTCGGAAGTCTCCACGTCTCTAATGCATCCACGAGAAGGATTAAGCCGAAAAGTCGTAATCTTGATGGAGAAATATTACAATAAAAATAGGGTCTTGGAGCCCTTAGAGAGAGAAAAAAAAATAGAGAGAGAAGAGAGCAAAAAACTAAAAAGAAAAATTTAGCAAAATGAGGAAGTCCCCCAAAAATACAAAGCAAAATGTCTATTTATAGCTACACCACAAACACACACTAAAACACACACATTTAACAATTTAGCACTCGCTAGGTAGCGAACTAGTTCGCTAGGCGAACTGGGCTTGTGGTCTTGTGCACACTCGCTAG